TCGCCCTATGTGTACCAAATCTGGAGAAGATACTCTTTTTTAGGAATGCGGTGACACTTTTCCCTTCATTGTTTAAAAGTGCAATTGCTTCCACCCATTTCGACACATAATCAACCGCAACAAGAATATACTTCATCCCATGTGAACTCACAAATACAACACAAATAAGGCTCATCCCAAAAGAACTTTTTCACATCATGCATAAACTTTTTCCTTTGGTGAAAAGACAAATCTGATGGAACCAGATCACTTGCCAAGTAGTTAGCAAAGTCTGCAAACCAAGGAATAAGATCATGAGAAGCAGCCAATAATTGTTCGTCTGGAAAAAATCATTAATTTCAGCCCCATCTCCTAGATTGAGCATAACTTCCTCCTCTAATCTGGACAAATGATCGGCAACTTGATTTTCGGTCCCCTTTCTATCTTTCACCTAAAAGTCAAACTCTAGCAGCAACAATACCCATCTAATCAACCTCAGTTTTACATCCTTCTTAGCCATAAGATACCTCAATGCATAATGGTCAGTATGCACTATGACCTTAGTACCAAGCATGAATGATCAAAATTTCTCGAATGCGAAAACCACAGCAAGGAGTTCTTGTTCAGTCACCGTGTAGTTCTTTTGAGCCACATTTAGAGCTTTGTTGGCATAGTAAATAGGATGAAGAATCTTTTCTCGCCTCTGTCTCAATACCACACAAAGCGCCACTCCACTCGCATCATACATCACTTCAAACAGTTACCCCCAATCCGGTGAGATAATGATAGGTGCGGAAACTAGATTTTCTTTCAACTCTCCAAATGCTCTTAGACAAGCATCATCAAAATCAAACTTACACTTCTTTCGAGGAATTTGCACAATGGGTGTGCAATTTTGGAGAAATCCTTGATAAACCTCCTATAAAAGCCTGTATGCCCAAGAAAACTTCTAACGCCTTTAATAGAGATAGGTGGTGGAAGCTTTTCTATTACCTCGACTTTAGCTCTATCAACCTCAATACCCTTCTCAGAAATCCGATGACCCAGAACGATCCCCTCATTCACCATGAAGTGGCACTTTTCCCAATTGAGCACAAGATTGCACTCTTTACACCGTTTCAGTACCTCGACCAAATGCATCAGACAACCATCAAACGAGTCACCTACTACAGAGAAATCATCCATAAATACCTCAATAGTGTCCTCCACCATATCTGAAAAATATCGACATCATGCAACGCTAGAAGGTCGTTGGAGCATTACACAACCGAAATGGCATCCATTTGAAGGTGAAAGTCCCATAAGAGCAAGTGAAAGTGGTCTTCTCTTGGTCTTACGGTGCTATGACGATCTGATTGTAGCCCGAATAACCGTCAAGAAAGCAATACCAACAATGCGGTCCAACATCTGATCCATGAATGGCATAGGGGAAGTGATCATTTTCTGTCCAAGCATTCAATTTGCAGTAGTCCATGCATACTCTCCATCCAGTAACTGGCCACATCGGAACAAGCTCATTTTTCACATTAGGAGCCACATTAATCCCACCTTTCTTAGGAATACACTAAACATGACAAACCCAACTACTATCTGCAATGGGATATATGACTCCAGCATCCAACCACTTGATGATTTCCTTTTTCACTACCTGTTGCATATGCGGATTTAGTCTCTTTTGGTGCTCGATACTAGGCTTGTGATCCTGCATGAGTTGGATTTTATGAGAACAAATGCCATGAGGAATCCCAATAATGTCCGCAATAGTCTATCCAATAGCCCTCTTGAACCTCTTCAACACAGAAACCAGTTCCTCAACTTGTTCCTCACTGAAATCTGCCGCAATGATGACCGGTAAAGTACCATCTCTCCCCAATAATACATACCTCAAATGCAATGGTAGAGCCTTGAGCTCCAATTTTGGAGCCTCTTCAATAGACGGTTTTGCGGGTGGAGAGTCGCGATTCTTCATATCTAACTCCAATTTCTTCGATTTGGAACGAAATTTGAACCTATCAAGTGCGGCCACTAATTCATCATAGTCTTCAATACCATCACCCTAAAAATTCATCATTATCGTTGCCAGTGCATCAACACCCAACCTCTCTTCAATAGACACAATCAGAACTTCATCTGCCCTCTCTCCATATCGACCAAGGCACGCCCAGTAGCAAGGAATGGTCTCCCTAGGATGATGGGAACCTCAAAATAAACCTCATAATCAAGTATCACAAAATCCGCTGGAAAAATAAACAACTACACTTTCACAAGTACATCTTGGAGAACACCAATAGGCTTCTTCACAGTTCTATCAGCCATGAGTAATCGCATCACAGTTAGTTTTGGACCCCTAAACCCAACTTCTTGTAGATAGACAATGGCATCAGATTAATGCTTGCTCCAAAATCACACAACGCCTTCGCAAAATGCAACAACCCAATGGTACAAGGAATAGTGAAAGCACCAGGATCCTCTTTATTCTGCACAAGTGACCTAGTAGCAATAGCACTGCAATATTGCAACCTATCATCATTTAAAACTGTCGGCCCTCTTCTTAGTCACCAAATCTTTCATAAGTTTTGCATACCTATGCATTTGCTCTAAAGCTTCTATCAACAGAACATTGATAGAAAGTTGTTCCAACATAGTAATAAACATGCAGTATTTTCCTTCTTCATTCTTCTTTACCAACCTCTGTGGGAATGGAGATGGAGGTCTAGGCATGGGAACAACTTTTTGGGTTATCTCTACTTCCTTCTCTGTAGGATTCTTGGACTCTCCAGTAACCTCAAACTCATCATCATCTTTTTCAATCACAATTTCAACCTTAGACGGCATATGTGGATCAATGGATTGTTTACCCCTTTGAGTAGTGACTGTCATACAATGCCCATCATTATTTGTATTCTGGATGGTGTTGCTAGGAAGTGTGCCAGGTTGACGTGCGTTTACTGTAGTGGACAATTGATTCATTTGCTGCTCTAGTTGTTTGATCGACACTGCATGGGCATCAACTTTATGACCAATTCCAGACAAGTCATTTCGCATCTCTTTCACATTCTCATTAGTCGTGTCAAACCTCTTCATCATCTTCTGCATCATATCCTCAATATGTAACATACTACCCCCAGTTTCCCTATTGCCAGATTCCCGATTTGTAGGTGGAACATAAGGCCCAACTCTCTCGTTTCTTTTGTCATAGTTGTTTCGGTTGTAGTTGTTGTCACGATTATAGCTCCCATCCTGGACATAATGACCCTCTCGATTATAGTTACCATAGTTCCGACCTTGGTTTCCTTTAACATGGCGCCAATTATCCAAATTGGAACCTTGGGCGTTGGCTAAGAAACCCCCCGTTTGATCATTCAATAAGTAAGCATCCTCTTCATAGTAGCATTCCTCAACTGGTAGTGGTGGATTTCTAGTCAAGTAGTTTACCACATTCACCTTTTCTGCACCTCCGCTCAGATGCTTCAATACCAACCCAAGTTTTATCCACATCTAAGCCATCTCCTCATGAATGTCATTGGTTGATTGAGTAGGTGCAGCTTGAACTGCAAAAGTGTTTCTTCCAGTGTCTCACTTTCTAGTGTTTCATGCTTTATTATTTTGGGAAATCTTCTCCAGTTTCTCTGTGATCTCCTCAAAAGTGCACTCACCATATGATCCTCCATCGATAGTATCAAGCATAGCCTTACCATTGTCATCATGGCCTTTGTAGAAGTACTCCTTCAGTGACTCATCATCGATGCGGTGATTCAAAACTCTTCTTATGAATGCAGTGACCTATCCCATGAACTACTCATAGAATCTCCAGGTAGTTCCACAAAGTTGTTGAGTTTATCTTTGTGGTTTAGCTTCTTAGACAACGGGAAATACTTGGCCATGAACACCTTGTGCAATTGGTCCCATGTATGAATTGAGTTATATGAAAGCTTAGAAAACCAGATCGCAGCATTTATGGTCAATGATAGAGGGAAGACTCTCAACCTTATGACATTCAAATCCAGCTCCGGTCGCCCTACACAACTCTTGCAGACACTCCTCAACTTGGCCATGTGCCCATGTGGATCTTCCGAAGCTATACCAGAAAACAATCCCTTCAGAGTAATCATCTGCATCAAACTACTCGTCACCACAAATGTATGCCCTAAAGGTAGAGGACGGAGAACAATGGGTCCTTCTGATTCAACTGTATTAAACTGGACCCTGTAGTTATCTTGCAGCCTTTGTTCTAGCGGATTTTGCACCCTCAATGCATCTCCAAGTAGATTACCACCAGGAACCTGAATGTTCTCATTATTCACTACGTCCTCATGCTCCTCTATGATCGGATTATTATTGCCCCCTTAATTTGCCATTCTTCTCAAAGTCTTGCTTAGTTCGGGGTCGTATGGAGTTAGTGGTTCGCCTCGACTCCGTGTACTTGGCATACACTAGAGTAGAAACTTGTAGGAAACAAAAACAAAAGAAAACGTAAAATTAGGAAATAATTGACTAAAGCTCAATAATGTAGGTAAATTTAATCTAAAAGCCTTGTTAACCGGCAGAGGCGCCAAAATTTGATACGCTCAAATTACACCTCCTTAAAGAAGTATAAGTGATCGTTGTCAAATAAAGAACCCAACTTGTAGGTTGGGGTCGATCCCACGAGGGGATTTATGAAACAAATAACTTATTGTTGTTTAAGTAACAAGTGAGCAAGAGTCAAACTTTGTTGTTATCAATGAGAGAGAGAAACTAGGGTGTATGTGTTCCCCATAAGCTCTTAACGTGGTATTCCTAATAATAGTAATCATTTCCTAGTGTTTTACATGCAAAGTTGGTAAGATATGTATCCCTAAGTGATTGTTCCTTCAAATAGGGAATTTCACTCCGCACTTTGGTCCGGTTACGCACTTTGGTCCGGCTACGTCTGTATAATTTACTAACCCTTACTTTTACTTCAGATTAGACATTACATCAATGTATGGCTTAGTTTTCATCCTCACACCAATTGACATTAGACTATTATATAGTATCACACTAAATCTCTGTTGATAATTATTTTCTTATTAACTACCTTCTTGGTTCGGCAAGTAGCAACAAGGTGAGTTTTAACGTTGGCGAACATTAAAAAGACTTCAAAGCAAAAAAACTACCAATACATGTTGATGCACCATTCAAGAATTACTTAGTTATTATTCATACGTTGTTAATTACTCATGGTTCCCACAACCCTAGTTGTGGATTTAGTTACTCATGCTTGAAAGAACACAATTCATATTTTTGTAAAGAGAATTCATGAACCTACGTTTAGAGTAGAAGAAACCTGTAATCTCCAATAGAATATCAAAGCGAAAATCTTATAAACCGAAATTGGGAAATCAAATTTCCAAAGTTTGCAAGTTAATTCCCAAGAAAATATCAAGAACTAAAAGTAAACAATAATGTCTAACCCCCAAAAATGAGGTTTACATACCCTATTACCCAGTCATTTGTAGTTGATGAAGTCTTAGAATTCTCCTCCCCGAGAGCTTTGTCATGTGTCCCATTTATCTTTTTTGTTCCTTTTACTACTGCATTAATGGTATTTCTGTTCGACCTACTAACAATGGATTCTTCAGTTGATACTCTATCATTGTGTGCAAAAGCTTTCTCTTTGTCTATAAGTCCATTATTTAAGGCAGCAAAAGAGTTTTTCGTAGTAATTTCTTCCCCCTGATTATTGCCTTTCTCCCTAATATCTTCTCTTGAGAATACTTTACTGGTAGGATGCCATCTTTTGAGAAACCTACCCATTCTGATAATCGGACCCTCACCAAGATGCTTGTTAGCCTCTTCACCCTCTAGTTTCCCTTTATCATATTCTGATTGTGATCTTTGTAATTCATGATGTAATATTCTACAACCTTCCTTATTATGCCCCTGCATCCTACATTCTTTGCAGTATTTCGGTAGCATGTCATATTGAATCTTAAATCGTTCCACCCTGGAAGTTTGCACATTCTCATTCACCACTTCCAATTCCATAAATTTTGGAAAAGTTGAAAGTAAATCAATTTGTACCTTGACCCTGACGCAGTTGGGTCGTGTTTTATTAATAGTGGCCATGTCTAAGTGAAGAGGTTTTCCTACTGCAGTAGCTAGTGAAAAAATGGATTCCTTAACAAAGTATGTTGGTTTTAAATTCGGAAAGGAGATCCAAGCCATAACTTGTGTAATTTCTTCTTCTACGTTGAAATTAACATCATAGATAAAGGGCCTCATCAAGTATGAATACCCATCCTTAGCCAAAATATAATAATTAGGTTTAGACATCATATTAATGAAATCTTCTTGTCGATTGAATCTCATAAAAATGTATCTATTGCGCAGTAATCCAATTTTGTATTCACCCTTGATATTACACTATTTGGGGATTTGAATTCGTAGCTCTTCAAGTTCTGGCCATCGATATGAGAATTTTCCAACTACAGCATATTGGAGATTCACTATGGTATTCATTATGTGTACTTCATATTCAGTCCAGGTAATTCTATGTATACCATTATTATAACAATTTTTTTAATGAAAATGGGTTCAACAGATGATTTGGTTTGATTTGTTGTCGTGTAACCCTTTAAAACATTGGCATAACAATTCGACAAAATCGCATCGCTATTCACTTCAGTATGCAACATGGTATGCGCGATAGGCAAAATAGGAATATTTGCAGAACTTGTAGAAGGATGTATCAGATGTGGGAATTTAGCAAGATTATGTTGGTCAGCCAAGGAGGTTGGTTGACCAGTGGCCATCCACTACAAGATCAGCAGAGAAGCTAGTTCTCTAGGTTTTCAGCGCCAGTCACCCTTTTCATCCAATAACAATTAACTAATACCGATAATTAATGTTTTTTTCTAACCTTAGTTGTTGATGGTTTAATAACCAACTTTTCTTGAGAACAACCAGCATAAGAGAGTCCCTTTGATTGAAGCAATTTTGTTCTTCAAAATATGCTCATTTGAATTCTTAATTATTTTGCGCATCATTTTATAAAATCATGTCAAATAATAAAATCATTATAATAAGTAAACTTTTTCTTTATTATGACATATGATTCAACCATAACAATAGTTGTATAGTACAACCCAAAAGAAAGTGTAGCTAATTTTTCATGCATAAATATTTTTTCCGCATTTATTGTGGTAATATAAAGGTATTCAACATTTTCTTCATTTGTAGTTGATAGTCATTTTGGCGAATAACCCTGAAAGTTAACAAGTTTCTTTGAGACTTACTACAATACAATGCATTATATATCAATTACAAGTACTGTTCCTCAAGGTAGTAATAAAGCTGCTCTTTCAAAACCCTCAATCAATTTTGTATTATCGGATGTTATATTAACATAGACCTTTTTCATGACTAAATGAGAGAAATATTTCTTTTTTCTTAGTATCATATGAATTGTGACACTATTCATAAGGCACATATCTCTACTATTCATCTTGAGTCCAACGGAAGACTAGAATTTTTTATTTATCTTCATAAAATAAAAATACATAATAAGAAGTACGAAATAAACTAACAAAAGAAGATTCAAGTACTTTAACTTTAAATAAGATATTAAAAACACATAAAAATAACCACTTTATTCATTTTTCAATTCAATGATCAATCTTCTGTTTTAATATCCAAAGAAAGCCCAGCTTCTAAATGAATAATATTATTGAGATCATAAAAAATATCATCTTTCAATGTCAAATTCGCCTCAACATTTTCATCATATTTCTGAGAAGGCTCTGCCTGAGCACAATCCTTAAGAGTCAAATACAACTCCATCCAAACATTAGAAAAAGAGGTAACACCTTTATTTTCTTTTCTTTTGAAAGAATTTTGATAAATCCTGGCAAAATGCTTAAGTGTCCGACATTCATTTTTTCAGGCCGCGACGATAATAGTGATCACCTTTGCCTCTTGAAGGATTATTTTGATAACTCATACTTTTTTTTACTGTTGTTATGACCATCACCTCGACAATTATTATATCGTCTCTTGTTATTATCACGCCCACACACATTATTATGACCCTCAATATTTAGTCTTATTTCAGATTGGTCGGGTACTTCTATCATATTTGCTTATGATAATGGAGTAGTTTCAATAGAACGGATTTCATGATTTCATTAAAAAAAACATTATGTTTCTCAACTACCAAAACAGATCAATTCAGTATTTTTCTGAAAATTCTTTTTACGTTATTGTTGATGTAATGTCAGATTTGAGGCATGTGAAGTAATTGCCATCTTTTATAGTTTTTCCACATAATTGAGAAGTTATTCTAAATACAATAGAATTATACTCAATTACGATTTTGAAATCATAAGTGCATCCACTCATAACAAGCTCTTGCCAATACCGTTGCCTTAAGGTGGTCATACCTTCCTTTCAAAACACAATTCAAGTGGATCTTTCATCGTAAATTAAAGATATTCTTAATTGTTCTACAATATTTATTACTAGTTTCAATAGATATTAACGCCAAAGTTGTGTAAGAATTATAAATCATATTTAATATCATACCCTTCTTCTTTATGACACACAAATAATGATCATAAATGTATGACAAGAAAATACTTACGTGTATTCTAACTAATGTGCTATCATATTTCATAGTATTTAATTTTGTGTTATAAGTTAGTGACATATAAATAACACAATATTTTAATCCTTAAACATTTCAATTATCATACCTAGTAAAGTATCATAATAATACCTAAAGCAAGTCATGTATGCAGTAATTAAATTGCAGATCGAAAACTTACGAAAGTCCTATTGGAGATGTTATAAGCGTATACATATATACCTGAATCGAAAAGAAAAATGATTAACTTTTAACATAAAAGACTGTCCTGATTTAAAAAGATCTTAGTTGATTTGAGACTCATGTTTGATAACGTGTTATAAAATGGGAGGAAAATATAAAAAATACTAAACAAGAAATGAAGATAAAATAACATTGAGAGTTAAATGTAGACAGTCTTATTTTATTCTCTTCAACTATATCTTTTACAAGGATGAAGAATATCCTTTATAGTATGTACAAATCATCCATTTACTATCTTTAACAAATACACTAGTACAATATTTAAGTAATACATTAAATAGATACATATATGTTAGAGAGTTAAAAGAATGAAACATCCACCATTGAATGAATTCATAATATAAATTTATTTGTTCGGTACTTTTTTGTTATTTCACATATTTTCTTTGTTTTATTTTTCAAAATATTAGATATATCATAGTTAAAAGGGAAAATAGTCAAAAATATCCCTCAACTTTCACCTATTAGTTATTTTTATCCTTCGTTATACCACACAATTATTTATACCCCGCCATTACCAAATTTAGCAAATATACCCCTCAATTGGATGATTTCCCCCAAATAAAAAAAAACTATTCAATTTAAATAAAAATTACTCGATTTTCCTATTTTAATTCGAATCCGACCAACTAAATAAATAAATTCAAACCAAATTAAATCTCAAAACTGTCTATTCTAATCTTCTTCATCTCGTTCATCTATGGAAACACCATTCTCCATCTGTTCCCAATTTATCTGATCCTTCTTCATCGCCTTCCTCCATGAAAATCCATAAAAGAGGAGGATCCATGATTTTTCCTCCAAGTGAAGCTCTTTAGGTCATTCAAAAAGTTGTTGTTGATTCGAACTTTCTTTTGCAATCTTTACTAGAACCTTTTCCATTATTCCTGTTGGAAAGGAGCTTATTTTGTAAATATTTTATTTTTAAGGGTCAATTAAAGCTTTTCCTTTTGCAATCTTTTGTGTGTTATTATTGGTTCGTATCTCTAATTATTTGTGTATTGTTATTAGTTTTCCTAGTTCTTCTTCTTTGTGTTTGGAGTTCTTGTTCGAGTCAAAATCAATATTTTGTTGAATCTTTGTAATGCACTTAAAAAGTTCTTTAGGTTGTTGAACAAAAAATAACTTATGAAAATTTCTAACATGGATATGTGATTGATACAGGAACATATTTTTTAGATTT